TCTTTTCCAACATTCATGTCTCCATGATTCTGAGATCCCTTTTCTCCACTGCTCCTGTAGCCAAGATACCCCATTTCTCCTTCCCAGACCTGGTTTAAAGCTGCTCCCCAGGGCAGGAGATGCTGGTCCAGCCCATCTCCAGCCAAGGACTTTGCCTTTTTGGCATGCCAACCTCTGTCCTCCCCTCTGTCCTGCCAGGGGCCATCGAGCTGGACCTGAACCGCTTCCCCCGGGGAGCCAAGACATCCAAGCAGTGCAGCCTGGAGATGGTGACCAACGAGGCTGAGCTGCCCATGATCTCCATCTTCAAGCAGAAGCGGGTCAAGGGCTGGTGGCCATTCGTGGCCAGAGATGAGAACGATGAGCTGGAGGTCACCGTAAGGATGGGGGAAAGGGAGGGTCTGCCTCCTGGGCACTGCACACTTTGTGGACACCCTGCTTCCCCCTCATGGCTTTGTTCCTTCTGGGATGTGCTCCCAGGCCTCAGCACAGCTCTCTCCTCCCTGCAGGGCAAAGTTGAGGCTGAGCTGCACCTTCTGACAGCGGAGGAAGCTGAGAAATCCCCTGCTGGGCTGGCTCGGAATGAGCCTGATCCCCTGGAGAAACCCAAGTGAGTGGGAGAAGCCTCTCTGCAGCAGGGACCTGGGATTATGGGATTCTGCTCCCACCTGGAGTGCTGCATCCAGCTCTGAGCCCCAAAACCTGATGGAAAAGGGTCTAGAGGAGGTCATGGAGGTGTTCTGATCTGGAGCCCCTCTGCTCTGCAGTCAGGCTGGCAGAGCTGGGGGTGCTCACCTGGAGAGGAGAAGGATCCAGGGAGAGCTCAGAGCCCCTTGCAGGGCCTGAAGGGGCTCCAGGAGAGCTGCAGAGGGACTGGGGACAAGGCATAGAGGGACAGGGCACAGGGAATGGCTCCCAGTGCCAGAGGGCAGGGATGGATGGGAAATTGGGAATGAGGAATTGTTTCCTGGCAGAGTGAGCAGGCCCTGGCACAGGGTGCCCAGAACAGCTGTGGCCGTCCCTGGATCCCTGGCAGTGCCCAAGGCCAGGTTGGACAGGGCTTGGAGCAACCTGAGATAGTGGAAGGTGTCCCTACCCTTGGCAGGGAGTGAAACAAACAAAAAAAAAGATGAACTTTAAGGTCCATGAATCCCTTTCCATGGTGGTGGATTAATGATGGATGTTTGATTCCCCTGCAGCCGCCCGGACACGTCGTTCATCTGGTTCCTGAACCCGCTCAAGTCCATCAAATACCTCATCTGCACCCGCTACAAGTGGCTCATCATCAAGATCGTGCTGGCCCTGCTGCTCCTCATCATGGTGGCCCTGTTCCTCTACAGCATGCCCGGATACATGGTCAAGAAGCTGCTGGGAGCATGAAGGGCTGGAGCCTCTCCTGTGTCCCCAGCCCACTGCACAACCTTACAGCTCCATGTCCTTCTCCTCCCTGTGACCTCTGGGCAGCCCTGGGGGCATCTCCTCCCTGCTGCTGCTGCTGCTGGGTCTCCTCTTTGCATTTCTTCTCTGTGGGTCCCACTCAGGCTTTAGTGCCAGGGAAATGGGGCGGGAGCATGGCAAAGATCCCCAGACTCTGCATCCTGCACTGGGGCTGGGAGAGGTGCCCAGCTGGCTCCTGTGGGAGTCCCTGAGGCCTCTGCCCATTGAGGTTGTGGCTGGAGCCTTCCTGGGAATCAGGAGAAGGAGAGGGGAGCTGGGGCTGTGTCACTGGTGCTGTGGGAGCATTCTGGAAAGGCTTCTTGGAGGGATGCTCAGAATCCAGGATGGAGCAGGGAGCTGGGATGGAGCAGCTGGGTTGGAGCAGCTGGGGACATGCCAGCCCCAGCAGTGAGGGCACAGAGCATCCCCAGTGCCTGAACCCACTGCCAGCACAGTCCCTGCTCCTCTCAGACCTCTGGAGGTCCCATTCTCTGGCACAGGGAGCTGTCCCACCTCTGGAGTGCTGAACATGGTGCCCAGCAGAGTGAGAGGGCACAGAGCATCCCCAGTGCCTGTCCCTGCTCCTCTGGGAACTCTGGAGGTCACATTCCCTGGCACAGGGATCTGTCCCACCTCAGGAATGCAGGACATGGTGCCCAGCAGTGAGGGCACAGTGCATCCCCACTGCCTGTCTCCACTGCCAGCACAGTCCCTGCTCCTCTTGGAGCTCTGGAGGTCACATTCCCTGGCACAGGGATCTGTCCCACCTCGGGAAGGCTGGACATGGTGCCCAGCAGAGTGAGAGGGCACAGAGCATCCCCAGTGCCTGTCCCTGTTGTTGTAGGCTCCTGGCCAGGTAATAATGAGCATTGACTTCATGATTG